CTCTTAAAAAAAAAAAGTATCTGTAGAATACATTCTTAGAAGGAGAATTCTTAGTCAAAGGGTATATTTATTTTTTAGGTTACTTAACTAAATAAGCTGGTACGGTTTTCCTAACCATATATGAGAAGATTTGTTTCTCCACATTTATTCTTCCTCATTGTATCATTGATTTTTTTAACTTGCCAATTAAATTATAATTGTAAAATACCTATATCTAATTATGAATGAGGCTAAGATCTTAAAAATCATATTACATTCTTTCTATAGAATCATTGAGTTCTTTATCATTTTCTGAATGACATCCATCTTTCCCTTCTGGTTTCAAATAGCAGTTAAAATAAGTCTCAATGATGATTTGAATCTATTTCTGAACCCTCTGTTCTGTTACATTTATTTTATTGTTTATATGCATTGGTACCAATATTTTAAATTACCATAGCTTTACAGATGTCTTAATATACAGTAGTTTAATGCCTCTTCGTTGTTCATTTTCAGCATTTCCTAACTAGAGTTTGTTTTGTTTTGTTTTGGGGCACTGGTGCTAAAGTTATTTTTATTAAAATAAACATTGAAATATACTCTGTTGGGAGAGGCGTGTGATCATTATGAGTCAGGGTAAGCTTTATGTTCTCAGGTTAGATCTGGAACTAAAAATGATATGTAGGAAAAGATCGTGGAGAACCAACCAAGGGAAGAGAACTGAATAAATGTTTCAAATATGAGATTCTATAAAAGAAACAAAATACACACTTGAATGTTGAAAGTTATTTAAGCAGCCAACTAGCTCCCTAGGTCAGTGTTTACAAACCTTAACTTTTAAAGGGCCTTGACAAACAGTACCAAGGGGCTGACCTTAAACTTAAATTCCTTGAACTCTTAGCACCTGTGAACATGCACCTAACATTCTTTCAGCCAGCCTGTACTTTACTGGTTCCAAGGAGACATCTTTAATGCATGCCCCAGTAGGAAGCGTAGGTTATAGAGAAACTAACAAGTTCTCAGAAAGGGAGATAAACACAGTCAGCAGCTGGCTATCTCAGAGCAGACTGTCCTACAAGTATGTCAAGATTCAGACTTCTCCGTGTCACTTCGGTGATCTCAACAACAGGAACCTTCTGTTTGCTGCTGCTTCAGGTACCTTTTGTTTTCCCCCCCTGGGAAAAGATTTTTGGAAGTACTCTAAAGACTTGATTTGCTATGGATTTGTTCTTTGGGCAACTTAACAGCTCCCCCATTTAAAAGATTTCCTTTAAGAAAGTGCTGCCAGCATCTTACAACTTATGACTTCTTGTCATTGGTCAGAGACGCAGAAACAAAATGCCTGCGATATTATTATTTTTTCCTCCTTTATTTTGTTCTATAGCTACTGGAATAATGTGATGCAAATTTAACCTTTGCTTAACTTTGCTATGCTATGAATTTCTTTAAATAAAAAATGCGATTGACACAGAGGAAAATGTTATGGCTGGATTAATTTGAGGCATGTGTACTCTTGCCTACTACAACCACCCTTGATGCTTGACAGTTTTTCAATGCTGACTGATGTAGACAGAACCAGTTTAGGGTTTATTTTGGTTCCTCTGTTCCAGCATCTTCTATTCTGACCAATCATTTCCAACCCAGTATCTGTGTTACTTGAATGCAATGTATCTGCAAGATTTAGGTCTAAAGTATATTAAGATTTCACTCGCCACTTCATGATAACTGGGAAGTCTGACAGCTAATACATCGGCAGTGAGTTGGTAATAATGTAATGCTGTGTATTTCTTGTCAGGGTACAACACACACAGAATACTAGGAAGTGACTCGAAAGTGAAATGCTAGCTTTATTTGTTTATCTGTTTGGCTGGATCCCAAATGATTTCATCTACTCATAAATAAACTTTCTTTATGGGTAAAATGTGAATGTTCATTTTCCTCTCCGTTAGCATGCAAATCTATTTGCAGCATTCTAGCAAAAGAGAATGCAACTCATTTTCTGTGCTTGTAAATTGTTCCTTACCGTGCTCTCTGATGGCCACTTCATGGCTCCGTCTGCAATTCCACACGTCTCTTTGCCCAGATAAACTTGGTGGAGTTAATACAAGGTGCCGCAGAAGATGTCTTCGGGATTAAGAGGATTAAAGAAGACACAGTTCACACAGAATTCCAACCCTATCATTTTAAATTGTGCACCATCTTAACGTACGCTTGTATTTGTATTACAGTACAGAAAAGCAAATACTGCAACTTCATCAATCCAGTTTTCGGCATTACATATAAATGGCCTTTATAAGTGTCAGTCCAAGGTGAAAAATCAGCCAACCTCTAGAAAGGCGGTTTCCCCCTTGTACGATGGGTGTAAGGTGCTAACCTATAAGGCCGAACACAGAGAATTATAATTTTGTCATGATGCTTATGGCTTGAGTTTTTAAACCCAAGGTCATTGCCTGTTTCTCTTCTTTGACAAAGAGAAGATTGCAAATCTCAACAGGAATGC